GCGCCCCCCGCCCCCACCCCGCCCCAGCCGCCGACCCGGGCGCAGCCCAGGAGACTGACCCCAGCGGACGAGCGGCGTCGGCGGTGGCGCCCCGCGCTCCCTGGGGCCTTGACGGCGGCGGCGGCCCCACCTCCCGTGCCCCCGCCCCCTCCCGCCGTCCTCCAGTCCCCTTAGCTGCCGCGCGCGCGTCAGCGCCGCCGGCACCGCCGCCTCCGCCGCGAGCTTCCTACTGCGCGACCCGCGGCCGCCACCGCTACTGAGCATGCCCAGAGGCCGCCAGACGGGACCCCCGCGGCAGGGCGCGCGCTCGGCGCTGCCGGGGCGAACGGAAGGCGACCTGGATGAGGCGACCAAGCTCGCGACTCTTCTCATTCCCACCCGGTTGGCCTTACGGTGCTGCCAGGGCTGGTGTGCCTTCATTCACTCAGTACGCGCTTCAGCGCTTCCCGGAGTTAAGCTCAAAGACATCAGGGGCTCCCAGTTGTGAGGGGCAGTCAGTCACGCGTTAGGAGAGTTGGGAGGCAGTAGCGGTGCCCAGGGAGGCTTGGAAGACCACCCTTTAACTGCAATCACCTCCCTCCTCCAACTCCCACCCTGCACAGATACAACAAGAGTAAAAACAGGCAGCTTCTTATAAGACGCACCTCCAAAACATCCCTCAAGTAATCCTATCCTCCCTCCCCAAATTGCTGCCCCTAAACAGCTAATTAAAAAAACTGAAACCGACACTGATTTCAGACTGTAGAAGATAGGGAATAATCTTAATTTTTTTTAAAGAAATGAGCCGTTTTTTTCTCTCTCCCACTCGACCCTTAGCGCAAGTTCCAAGGTGATCAAGGAGAATTGGGTGGAAGGCAGAAGAAAAGGGATGCACGCTGGGAGCGAGGGGAGATTCTGGGATGGGACACCACAGTTGGTTCCTGTGTCCGACATTTCAAGTGAAAACTGAACCTGGCCTTGCAGGTACCAGACTAAGCAAGAAAATTTTGGGTAAAACCTTAGATATCTGATTATGGCAAGTGTTATATCAGCACACACCCCATGCCCCCATAAATCCGCACACCTGGGAGAGACGTAAAACCTGGTCCGGATTCCTTATTCCAAAGGCCCGTCCGCTGGGCTCCAGGACCAAGCCCCTCAGGATTGCGCAAACTCAGTTGCTACCTCTCTTGGTCTTTTCCTCCTCCCACCTCTTACGGCTGTCAAAATCCGGACTCAGGACTTCCTAAAGGCCCGGAACGCAGCTTCGCGCATGCTCAGCATCAGCCCGGCTGCTTAATACACACGTGCTTACGGCCTATCGCGGCGCCTGCGCGGTCGCAGCCTGCAGTTCGCCCTTAGGACAGACGTCTGTTGTACCTTGACTCCCGCAGTCCGCTCAAGCCGGTCTGTGCTCAGTGTCTTGTGTACCTTCTTGCAAGCGACGGCGCCATGAGTATGACTTCCAGCGTACGAGGTGAAGTGGGGCGTGGGAGCGGGTGAGGCTGGCGGCCTGCGCACCGGTTGCAGCTCCCTCAGCACCTCTTCGGGCTGTTACAGCTGACCTGCGTTCCCGCCAGTCTCGTAACCTTGAGATGGAGGAGGGCAAGCGCTCCGCGTACCTGCGGACACCTCGGGCCACACGGGGCAAGGGGCCAGGTCAGGGTATGATCCCGGGGCAAAAGTGGCGTGGGGGCCATGCAGGCATCTACCCAGGTCTGGGTAGTCCCCTAACTATACCGCTGCGCTGCTAGCTTTTCTTGTTCTTCCCTGAGACTCCTTTCTGTTGTGTCACAGGGCCTGGAAAAAAAGGAAAGGTGAAAACAAAAAACAAAAACCCTCTTCCCCCTTCTCCACGTTTAAATTACCGTGGATTGAGAACGTAGATTTCCTGCAGCCCTCAAGCGATGCATGACTAATCACAGCTTAGTTTTGCACATTTTTTAAAGGGAAGGCACCCAATCCGAGGTCTTCAGTTTTCCCAGGGTTTTTTGTTGTTGTTTTTTGTTTTTACTGCCTCTGGCATCTGGACCTCGGTGGCAGTAGTCCAGGAGAGAGGATTGAAAACTGAGCTCATTGAGCCTTCATCTTTCTCAGCCTTGCTTCCCTTGTGCTAGTACCTAGCGTTTGGAAATGTTACTTCACAGAAGGTCCGATTAAAATTAAGAGACTTTCTAGAGCTTCACTTTATAACAATTCTTGGTGGTAGTATAACTGTTAATATAATAGTTTGTACCGCTACAGGATACCTGTGATCTTTGCCCAGGTATAAAATACCACCCTCAAGGTTTGGTTACCTGTAACAGTAGTTAGGTAAAGGTAGATTGTCCAGAAATTAATTTAAAATAGTCTACTTGATTCATTTAGTAAATATTGAGCATCTGGAGTGCCAGGTTCTGTAAAAGGCCTCTACTAACTTGGCCCTAATTTTGTAATAGATTCTATAAATTGGAGAATTCCACTTGTTGTGAAAAGTTATCTTTCAGAGTGAGGGTGATAACCCACGACATTTTTAAGTTACTAATGTGGTATATAGGAGGTGATTATTTGCAAAACGTATTTCAAAGGATACTCATCTTTAGCCTCCTTTAAATAGAGGCACCTTCGTACATTTAAAATAGGGAGTGATTTTTATTGTAAAAAAAAAAATTTTCCGAGGAATAAGACAATTGTGTAAAATAAGATATTCATGTAACTTGAGCCACTGATAATCTTATAGGAAGACAGTTTGCACTTGTGTGATATGGGACAGAAGATTCCAAAGTGTTTCTTTTTTAATGTGGAGTCATTTTGTATAATTGGGCACTAAACTCCATTTAGGTAGCATACTATTGAAATGTGAAATAGGTGAACCGTAAGACTCTTAAGACTATAAGCTAATCTTTCTTGTAATCAAGACAAGTTTGTTATTTTTTATCTAATTATATAGGAATCCAAAGGTGACTTTCCCATTATTTTGTCATTTTCTAAGGGATAGGAAATTGATTCGTCAATTGGGTTATTAGCTTAAACTTTAGGTACTCAACTTTGTTATGAGAACTACTTTTTTCCGGCTGTGTTGGGTCTTTGTTGCTGCATGCAGGCTTTCTTCTAGTTGCAGTGAGCAGGGGCTATTCTTCGTTGCCGTGCATGGGCTTCTCATTGCAGTGGCTTCTCTTGTTGCAGAGCACGGGCTCTAGGTGCACAGGCTTCAGTAGTTGTAGCACGCGGGCTCAGTAGTTGTAGCACGCGGGCTCAGTAGTTGTGGCTCACGGGCTCTAGATCGTAGGCTCGGTAGTTGTGGCGCACGGTCTTAGTTGCTCCACAGCATGTGGGATCTTCCCAGACCAGGGCTCAAACCCGTGTCCCCTGCATTGTCAGGCGGATTCTTAACCACTGCGCCACCAGGGAAGCCCAAGAAGTAACTACTTTTTATTTCACCTAAAAGCATAAGGACTGTTGTGAGGACTATGGGCAGGGACCCCAAAGCCTTTGTAAATCACTTTTACCGGTGCTTTCTTCCTCAGATATAGTGGTGTGGCAAGGTAGGGACGGAATATCTGTTTTGTAATGTTTAGATCTCAAATTGGTCTACTCTCAGTGTTGAAACCAAACCTGTTCATTCCTATAGATTGAAAATCAATTTAGATCTTTTGATTTGGGGGAAGATGACCATGACTTTTCTCAGTTAAGTAAGTGAATTATATATATATTTTTTATAATTTTTGTGTATATTATATAATTATAGAGGGCTTAGAATGGTATTTGGCAATGGTAAGCACTATATAAGTATATGTTAAATAAAAAATAAAAGGGTGTGTATGTGCATGCAGAATTCTTGTTTATATTCAGGAAAAAATAATGGGCGGGTTAGAAACAAAATGAATGGAGATCAAAATCAGGTCAGGACATGAATCTGGGAAAGGCAATGAGGATGAGTGGTTGGAATGGTAATCCGAAGATCCCAGTCAGTGAGATGGCTTTTGATGCCCATTTGGTCGATATTACCAAACTTCTTTTTTCCTTATTGAGGTATAATTGACATACTTATACCAAACTTATTTTTTATGTGATACCAAATATCTATTACAGTTTTAGAAACTGTAATAAACATTAAGAAACATTAAGTGCCTTTCACTGCTACAGAGTCCCCATTCTCTAATGACCCCTCCTCATACCCAACAGATGACCTCTAGGAAGTTTACTAAACTTCTTGCTCCTTAATACCTCCAAGACTCATTGGCTCTGCTCTCATCCTTAATCCCTTCCCTTCTGTTTGCAAGGAAGAGATTATCTGAGGCTGTTCCCTCTATATCATCTAGATGCCATTTTCTCCTGCTTCCTTGAGCTCTTGCCTCAGTAATGATACCAATTGCTCTTAATTCTTCTGTCTTCTCACTCACAGGGATTTTCTTCTCTTCAGCCCAAAGTCACTCATAATTAACCCTCATTAAAAAAAAAAAAAAAAAAGCCAACTAAACCAAATAGTTTTAAAGGCCTTCCTTCTTCCTGCTGTCCCCTCAAGTCACTTTTTTCGTCATATTTTGCTTTAGCCTCCAGTTACAAAATAGGCATTAGTCTATCTGCCTGTGCTTTATTGTACTTCCCAAACCCTGAGCACTACAATGCTTGTAACCAAAACTAAATTTCCTAAGTTCTTATTCTCTGTTACATCGTTGTCTCTTTTGAAACTAACTCATAATTTTCCAATCTATTTAACTTCAACATATAAAAATACTGTTTGGGTTCAATAAATTTATTGAGTCATTTAAAGTAACTATTCAAGGGTTTGTTTTTATCTGAGAAGGAATGTGCAGATCATACTGTGAATAAAGGAGTTAGCTCCTATAGGTTATGAACAATAAATAATAGGGGATTTGGGGGCTGTAGATGAAACAAGATTGGCAGTGAGTTCATACTTGTTGGAGCTGGGTGAGGGTAAATGGGAGGTCGTTGCAGTATTCTCCTTGTATGTCTGAAGGGTTCCATAATGAAGTTTTATTTTTAATCTCCGGAAGTATTGCAATTCCACAGTTTGATACAGTAGGTTAAGATGAGGCCAAAGAGAAGTCATTTGGTGTAAGAGCAATGTGATAGTAGGATGGACAGATGGAGTTGCAAATTCAAATTAGGAACCTATTATTTCTTTTTACTTAACTAACATTGAACACTGCCTGTGCACCAGGCCTTGAGAGAAAAACGTTACCAGGCACAGCCTACCAATCTGAGGGGGACCTAAGGGAGGCAAAGATTTAAACACAGCTCCCCTCCCCCCGCTCCTGAGGTGGAAGGAACATTCTGATTCCATGGCAGTTGACACTGGGTAGGGGAGGACAGTTTGAGGCTATCAAAGGGGCTAAAGGAAAAGAAGCAGGGTGAGATTTCTGTCTTAGGTTAAAGCAAAACTATTTCCCACAGTAAAGAAATGAGTTATAAATACGGGTGTGGCATTTGGGAACAAGTTAATGTTTTCTCTATCTCTGAATAATCCTAAGAGAGAAAACCAAAGATTATACAGAGATTGCCAGGGGAAGAGTAAGAAAGGGAGCGATTATTTAGAAATGTATTTTTTGTATTTTCTTTATATTGATGTATTCATGGTATTTGTATAGATGGAGAGCATTGTTAAGCAAGGTAGGGGTTTGATCTAACTATAGGAACACTATACCTTGAGAGAGGTGTACAGAAAAGGGAAGTAAGGATAAAGTAGAAGAGGCAAAAATAAGGCTTAGGATATTTCTGGACACCAGTTTTGAAAGAATGTCTGAAAGGTGCCAACTGAAATATCTTTAGAAATTGGGTCTTGATATAGTCCCTTGTTCAACCTGAAATGGTGTCTGTTCTTAATAGGCATGTACACTATCAAGAACTAAATGTTACTTGGGTTTTATTGTTTGTTTACTGTCTTGGGTTTTCAATTCTTTCTCTATTGTAATTGTTGACTTTTGAATCCATCATCATTCTTGTCTATCTCCATATAGTTTCCTTTTCTTTCTTTTCCCTAGAGTTGCCAGTGGCATCCATAGCTTTTTGCCAGAAAAGACTGATTCAGGCTACAGTAATGAAATGATAAAATAGCAACATTTTTCTTACTCTGGGAACTTTTACATTTGTCTCTAATGAGGTTAGAGAATTAGAATTTGGGAATGGGGGAGGGATGGAAATTGTTTTCTTAAGACCTTATCTGGCTCTGTGAGTCTAAAAAACTCATTGGAGCAAACGCAAAGCCATTTCCTAGCACACATATGGTGCTATGACATTTATAAAGGTTCATCAGTGACCCTCCTTAGGGGGTCGGGTCACAGAGTGCATGTTTTGATTCCCCACAGGGCAGCCACTCTTGGGTAATATCTAGAGTTAGTTCCCTCTGTGTCAGTTATTCTGTCATTTCTTCCACCATCAAAAAAATCCAAGGGAAGTATAAAGGTTTTTAAACAGTCACCATATAGATTCAGTTGGTAATAATGAGAAAGGAGAATAGAAGGATGTTTTGATGGCTGAGAAAGATTCTTCTGGCCTATCATAAGTTTCAGGTAGAAATTCCTGTAGGATTCTTTTTTTATATCATGAGACCAATTAATCCTAACCAATTGTAGTTGTTCTTTGGATCTCAGGCCTTTATGTAATATGTAAGCATCATTAAAACAAATCTGATAGAGATTACTTCAAACTTCACCTCAAAAGTAAGGTGTAGGGCTTCCCTGTTGGCGCAGTAGTTGAGAGCCCGCCTGCCGATGCAGGGGACGCGGGTTCGTGCCCCGGTCTGGGAAGATCCCACATGCCGCGGAACGGCTGGGCCCGTGAGCCGTGGCCACTGAGCCTGCGCGTCCGGAGCCTGTGCTCTGCAACAGGAGATGCCACAACAGTGAGAGGCCCGCATACTGCAAAAAAAAAAAAAAAAGTAAGGTGTAACTAAGATCAACAGCGTTTAGGGAATTGTATTATTTCAGTCTTTGGGGATATTTCCCTCTTTTAAGTTTATACTAAGGATTTAACATTCAGCAAACATAATTGAATATATATGGGCAAAGCAGTATTTTAGCCCATTTTGTGATAGGTACATTAACTATTCAGAGTGGCTTTCCATTAGCTAAGAAGTAGATTGCTGTAACTCCTGACATTTTCTCAAGGGACTTCCATGGTAAAAAATGCATCAGAAAGGAAGATCATGAATCAAGCTAGAAATCAGTAAAGTTTCAGCCCTGCTTGGAGTTGCCACAGAATGATACCATGAAGCAGCACTAAAATTCAAGGCAGGGAATTCCCTGGCAGTCCAGTGGTTAGGACTCCAGCTCCAGGACTGGAGCTTTCACTGTCGTGGGCTCCTGTTCAATCCTTAGTTGGGGGAATAAGATCCTACAAGCTGTGCAGTGCAGCCAAAAAAAAAAAAAAAGAAAGTATCCTTTACCAATGAGAAAAAATGATGACATTCATAATAAAACAAATTTTAAAAAATAATAAATAAAAATTTTAAAATTCAGGGTAAATCTACACAAGGTGTGTAGTTTAAAGTATCTTTCAATGAAGCCAAAGGTTTGAAGCTATCAAATGACTTATTAACTTTTCTCAGTCATATAGCATCTGGGAAGGGCATAAAGTTAATGTTTATTTTATATAGCAGGGAGGAATAGAACTGTTGTGTGAGCAGGAAAACAAACTAAATTTTTTCATAGAGAAAAATAACTGTGGTTGAAAATAGAATCCAAGGAACATGCTAATTAGGAACACTTGATGAAAACTAAATTATTAAATAAGCTAGAAGAGAAGACCAAGATAAAAGGAACTAAGTGTGAGAGTGGTTGTTCCTTTCCATTAGAGTTTTGTAAGAATGAAATCCAATTTTATGTAAGGAACTATTAGGTTCAATGATTAATCACATTAGTACAATAAGAAATTTGACTCAGTAGTGCAAGTGAGCCATACAGTTAATTATTCATTATATGTTTTTATTTGGTCTTGGAATGTGTTTTTTGTACTTGTCTCTCTAGGGCTTTATTTGATAGTCTGGGAACTTATCTCAAACACTGTGAAGATCTGACTTAGGAAATGCTGGGACGCAGTCCAGTGTGTTTATCCTGACCCCTGTTCACCTTCTTCCTGCAGTCCACTCCATGCTGGGAATAGACAACTCTCCTCTGAGGCTGAGGCTAACCAGACTATGCAGAACTCTCTCCTCTCCAGAATTCTCTGGAACTGGGGTAGTTGTTAAGTGCTTGTATTTCTAAGGGATCCTTGAAAAGCTACGTGAACAGAATAAATAGATGGCCTATTAGTCAAGCAAATAATTGCACAGAAAAATGTCATTAAATTTAAAATGAAGTTTGTAGGGAATTCAGATCATCCACTGGTGGATAATGGAAATTTAGAATTTATTAAAGGAGAATCTAACTAATTATATTATGTTTTCTATAAAATTAGTACCTTCTGAGTTTTATTTTAATGAGACACTTTGAAATTAAAAAACAAAAACAAAGCTTTTGAATGACTTGAAGCCCAGAATGCTGCTGGATATATTCCTCTGAATGTTTAATATTAAGGGTTGGTTTTGTTTTATTTGTCCTTTCTCTTTCTTTGGATACCAGTTCTGCTTGTGGTTATGCATTTTTAAATGACTAAAGGACCTACTATTTAAATGAACTCTGGGACTTCCCTGGCGGTCCAGTGGTTAAGACCCCACTCTTCCACTGCAGGGGCCACAGGTTCAATCCCTCGTCAGGGAACTAAGATCCTGCATGCTTCAGTGTGGCTAAAAAGAAAAAAAAAAAAGAACTCTGATGAGTCATTTTGTTAACATAATCACCTCCTGATTTTTAGAGGGATGAGGAGGGTCTTGTTTGTAATCTGAATGTTTATGGTCTTATTAGTAATCTGAATTTTTATATGTATCTTTTTTTTTTTTAAAGCAATAGGTATCTGCAGGCTCACAGGTTATTTTAAATCTATTTATGAACACTTTAAAAAGATTACTAAACTTTGTTTCTTCTCCAATTATAAAATAATTTTTAAGTTTCCCTCTTCTATCTTAACTTAGCTAACAATACTGAATAGAAAATACACAATGGCCTCAGTAAGGGCTGGGGAAGGTTTTAACAAGGGACAACTTCACCAGTGTGTTCTGATCATTTTTTTAACGTTAAACACCTTTGACTGTTGGGATGCTTAGTACTCAAAAACTGGATTTTCTGAACGTTTGTGTTAGATTATTAGTATAGATTTTGGTTTTGATAATCATTCCTGTTTTCCTTCCCTGCTCTAGTTGAATGGATTGCAGCGGTTACCATTGCTGCTGGGACAGCTGCCGTTGGTTATCTAGCTTACAAAAGATTTTATGTCAAAGATCATCGCAACAAATCTATGGTAAACCCTCACATCCAGAAAGACAACCCCAAGGTAGTACATGCTTTTGACATGGAGGATTTGGGAGATAAAGCTGTGTACTGCCGTTGTTGGAGGTCCAAGAAGGTAAGAGAAGCAAGTCCTTTATGCCAGTGCCGTCTTTAATGCAACATTTCGTTTAAACGATTCTGTCACATTGGTACTATCAAATATCAAGATATCCCTTCTCCTTTGCTTCCTTTTTTTTATGGATTCTGTTTTTCTCTGTTTTCTGTGTACTCTTCAGGAATATATTTACTAAAATGTAAAAACACCATGCAGTGAAATTGCATTGTACCCTCGTCGAGCTAGGCAAATATAACCACGTTCTTGGCCAAAGAAGAGAGAAAAATCCCTTTATTTACGCCTAGAATTTCCTCCCCAAGTGGGTGTTAGCATCCACTATCCCAGGAAAAGGAGTATGCAGCCTAAATACAAAGAGAAACAGAAGAGGTCGTTTTTTTTTCCCTTGAGATTTCAAGCTGCTAGATTCTAGCACAAGTTTTAGAAATATCAAGAGAAACTTTTGGAAAATTACCCCTGAAAATTTCTTACCTGGTACATATGTATTGACCCTGTATCCTAAGCTTTCTTTAAGCTGCAGCTCCTATATTTAAATATCCAACACAGGATTTTTTTGTATCTTTATTTTCTTTTGTGAGAATTGCATTTTATCAAGTTCCGTCTGGAATTATCTCTGTGATACCTGCAGCTTTTAGATAGCGATGACAGCTGGTGATCTGAAGATGGTAAAATGCTCTCCTAAGGTCATCTTGAAAAGCTTCATACATTGAATAACTTCAGAATTTCTGGTATATTTAGAGAAATATGGTGAAATACTGTGTGTACTGCCACTATTAGCATTTAAATAAAATGGATTTTACTAAAGATGACACTATAAGGCCTAAGAAAATAGACAATAAAAATGATGTATCTATTTCTGAAAGCATGTTATGTCAGGGACCTCTTCCCACAGTGGAAAGCCATTATCACAAATCACCTATCACAGATAAGGAAGAAGTCACATACCAGGTAATGGAAAGCATATTACACTAACCCCCCTTCTCCGGATACAATTGATACTGTATAATCCAGTGGTGATAGAGTGCTTAGATTATGTCATTGTGTCTGAAAACTGCTTGATGAACATATGGTATATGAACCAAAAATTAATAGTCCCATTACAGAAATTGTTCCTTAAGAAGAGCACTGTTCATTTGGAGTGTGGGATTGTTTATAAGTACTAGTGGAGTTGCTAGAAAATAATCCTCAATAATATTCTGTAGACTAGATCTGGTTTGTTTTTTAAAAATTAACACCTGTAATAGGTTTCATTCTCTTGTTGCTCACCAAAATATAAAAAGTAATACCTTTAGGGGCTTTCCTGGTGACGCAGTGGTTGAGCCCCCCTGCCGATGCAGGGGACACGGGTTCGTGCCCCAGTCCGGGAAGATCCCACATGCCACAGAGTGGCTGGGACCATGAGCCATGGCCGCTGAGCCTGCACGTCCGGAGCCTGTGCTCCGCAACGGGAGAGGCCACAACAGTGAGAGGCCCCCGTACCGGAAAAAAAAAAAAAAAAAAAAGTAATACCTTTAGAAATTAAGGCATTTCTAAGTCCAGAGTTGTAATAGTTCTTTAGTCAGTGATCTTAAGTAGTTCATTTAGTTTCTATTACTATATACATGCTTGAGAACAGTTAAATAGTAAAACAGCAGGTATCGTAGATGTGTGTAGTAGATGCTGTACGAATGCTTTAAATAAAAGGAAGAGCTTGTTGCACTGTGGGCTAGAATTTTCTGGGAAGGCATAGTGATATATACATGGGAGTTAAATTGCCCCTGGAAAGATTGGTGGCATTGGAATACACTAGCAAGTATTGGGGACTCTTTCTCAGAATCTGTGGGAAAGGACTTATGAGTGAAAGTGGGATCGATGAGGAATCTAGTCTGGTCCTTGCACCTCCCTCCCCGCAGAAATAAGTCCAAATTGAGGAGAGTCTTGAGTACCAGCGTGAGGAGTTTGTGCCTCCCAACATGGGGGGAGCTTCTTGTCAGGGATTTCAGACATAAAGTTATACTTACACCAGAGTGCTGGCCGTGGGAATGGCGAAGCATGAACAGATACATGAACCATTTTTAGGCAAAGATCAGCCAAATGCAATGACTGATTTGTGTGAAAGATTGTGGGAGGAAGACTAAAGCTCATGGAAGTATCTTGCTTAAGATAGGATTGTAGGGTTAGAAGAGGTGGTACTATCAACAGAAATAAGGAATTTGGGGTGAATGGCTCATTTTCCAGGACACCAATGAGGAGTTCAATTTCAAAGAGTGACATTGAGGTGACATTTGAATGGAAATGTACAGCAGACAGTCTGAAATGTGGGACTAAAGCTGAGACATCAGGGTTGGAGATAGCGATCAGCAAAACTGATGAGTCAAGGGTAGGAATGCAGCAGATCCTTGGTACAGATAAAAATCAAGGGCTAAGTATGAAATCTTGGAGAATTTTCTGCATTTTGTAAAGAGAAGAGCCAAAAAAGGAGAAGAAATGGGCCCCAGAGTTAGAAGAAAACTAAGAATATCGTGGCTTCACAGTGGAAAAGGGAAAAGTTTCAAAGAAGGTTTGATTGTGAACGTTGGCTTGTGCAAAAGACCAGGAGGTGAATAGACTATTATACTGAGACTGTGGGGTTAAACAATTAGGCAACTGACCTTTTGGTGTCATTTTCACAGAATAATTAGAATAGAAGCTGTGTCCAAATGGATTACAGTATGAATTACTACTAAAGAAATACCGGAAGTCTAAATATATGGCAAAATTATGGTAAATATGACAGTGAATGGAAAGAAAAAAATATGATGACTGCTTGAGTGAACGCTGAAGCTTAGCTTTGAAGCCAAGTAAAGGGCGTTTGCTTTGGTTGGGTGTTTCCAGATGGTAAAAGGTCAATAAAGCGAATGTGGACTTTTATGGACTAAGATCTCAAGTATTTCAGGAAGAATCACAAATGGACACAGGCTAAGCTAGTGGTTTAAATGTTTATTAGACTTTATAAGTCAACAGAACGTTCCAGGATTATTCTTTCATCATACTATTTAGAGTTTGCCTTAGGTAGACTTTAAGGAAAGGAATGCAAGACCAGTCATTTTATTTTCAATTTTCTCAATGTCTTCTTTCTTTTTAAGCTTATCTTTCATACCATTATTAATCCTCTTTGCATCTTTGATTTGTCGGTTCTGAATTTTCCCTGGATCTTGGGCACTTTTTATTCCCACATGAGTCGATTCAAAGTTCACTTTGAATATTCAAATTAGTAGATGTTCTTATTCTCCAGGCATCTTTGGAATCTCCCCACATTCCTGAGGTTCCTAAGGTTGTCACGCAGGTGCCAAGTCACACACTTACCTGCCTGTCCACAGAAGGCTTGATACCTTTGGTTAGATGGCTATATTGAGTTTATGTTCAGTAGTTTTTTCCTCATACACCAGTTGTGTTTCTAATACAACAAAATTTAAACTCCTATCTAAAAAAAAAAGTTATATGTTATTTAAACTAATTCAGTTTTAATTCATTATTTTTTTTTAATTGAAGTATTGTTGATTTACAATACTGTGTAAGTTTCAGGTGTACAGCATAGTGATTCAGTTTTGGAGGGGTTTTTTTGCCGATTACATTCCAATATAGGTTATTACGAGCTATTGGATATAATACTCTGTGCTATACAGTAAATCCTGTTGTTTATCTATTTTATGTGTAGTCGTTTGTATCTGATGATCCCATACTCTTAATTTTGTCCCTCCCCCCTCTAATTCATTCTTAAGGTACAGTCACGAGTAACCTGTTGTGTGTTTCTAACATTTTGAGCAGTTTTCTCAGACCTGATGAATCAGATCTCTTAGTCATGTGCAGAAATTACATGTTTTTAACACACTTCATTCCTCCTTTCTTCCCCCCGATTGGTGTGCCCTCTGCTGTTTCAGAAACTGGACTGTTTCATAGTATTTCACAAAAGGGTTGTCCCTAAGTGAAGTGAGAAGGAAAGGAACCAATACAAAGGAAATGATTAAAGCAACTACAGGGAAAGATACTATTTGAGACAGTGGTATGTTGAGAGGGGTGGAAGGAAAGGAGAGTACGAGCACAGATTTCAGACTCAGCCTTAGAAAGAAAGAGATAGTCTTACTTTCGAAACAAGGTGAGGGAACATTGATGTCAGAGGGAAGAGTGTGCAATGTGGTCTTACTAGATTCCCACCCCCCACTCACCTCAGGTAGATTATGGCATTTGCTGAGTTGTATGGTGGCCACTGGGGAGGCAGGAGAGGTTTGAACAAGGACAGCAGGAGAAGGCAGACTAAGAGATAATCAAGAAAGACAGGAAAGGTGAGCCAGTTCATGCCAGGAGCTCAACTGAAATTGAAATGAAACGTAACTGTGTAGAATAATTTTCTTTCCTTTACAACTTCTGGATTTGAGTTGGGTTTTTTTTATTAGTGGTGGTTTTGTTTTTGGTGTGTGTGTGTGTGTGTGTGTGTATGTGTGTTTGTGTGTGTGTGTGTGAGTTATGGAAAGTCTCCACACTATTAATGGTTAGAAATGGGACTTCCCTGGCTGTCCAGTGGTTAAGACTTCACGCTTCCAATGCAGGGGGCGTGGGCTCAATCCCTGGTTGGGGAACTAAGATCCCACAAGTGGCACAGCGGGGCCAAAAAAAAACGAAGTGAGTTGCACTGACTCCATTTCTTCATAGAAACAATATTCTGATCGTTGGTTACATTGCTTGCCCAATCCACATAAAGACAGTCTTGTAGGGCTTCCCTGGTGGCGCAGTGGTTAAGAATCCACCTGCCAATGCAGGGGACAGGGGTTCGAGCCCTGGGCCGGGAAGCTCCCACATGCCACGGAGCCACTGAGCCCGTGTGCCACAACTACTGAGTCTGCGCTCCAGAGCCCGTGAGCCACAACTACTGAAGCCCATGTGCCTAGAGCCTGTGCTCTGCAACAAGAGAAACCACTGCAATGAGAAGCCCGCGCACCGCAATGAAGAGCAGCACGGGCTCGCCGTGACCAGAGAAAGTCCGCGCGCAACAGCGAAGACCCAACGCAGCCAAAAAAATAAAATTTAAATTAAAAAAAAAAAGACAGTCTTGTAAAATCTTAATTTTTCTTACATATTTTCCTACTATATCTACTATCATAGGTCTTACTAAAGTAAGTACATAAGAATGGTATAAAATGTCATATTCTCTTGTTTAGTCTCAAAGATCTCATTGCTTTTATTTTCTTTGTCAACCAAAGCAAGCTTGTTTCTCAGAGCAGTTTATAGTAATGAGCCAAATGGCCCCAGGCAACTTCCTTGGAAAATATAATCCAAACTCTAATTAAAAATACAAAGTTTGGCCAAGGAAGCTTCAAAAAACTTTTTTTTAATTTTTGCAAGTAGAAGAGGTAAGTCAAGGATGAACAGTTATTTCTTTCCACCTTGAATCACCCTAAAAACAGAAACATCATAACTTGAGATGTGGGACCATTAAAAAGAAACAAGTTTTGTGTTTTTTATGAAGACCCTGACAAGGTTGCTAGCTTTCCAAGTAGAGAGCAAGGATCTCTAGTGTTTTTTACCCCTAAACGTTTATTTCCACCTCTTCTCCACACCCTCTCTTCTCTAGTTTTAAAGGTACTTGGGATTTGTAGTTTTCTAATTGGGTTAACAAATATGATAGTATATTTTCTGGGCATACAGGAAATTCAACCAATTTAATTCACAAACTTTTCTCCAGGATTTATTAATAAACAAAGGTTAACATCTTAGAACAAATGTTAGAATCATCCGTGAGCTCAACTTTTTTCTCATCAATTTTCTGATTCTTTTATTTTTAAGTATTGATACATGAACTGAATTAAATATACCCTTTGTGTTTTTTGTAATTTCAGCTCTTTGCTTGACATTTTTAACACATTTAAAATTTTTAATGAGTTAATAAAATTCACATTTTCATTATATTGTTATTTAATACAAAAACTGCTAAACTTCCTAGATTACGTTTGAAAGTATATATCCACCACATGTTTTTTTTTTCCTGTATAGAAAGGTCAAAAATGAAACAAGGCACTTTCTGGAAAAACACAAATATTCAAATGGTAAATCACAAAATTCAAATGGTAAATTACATAACAAATATTGTTATGTAATTTACCATTTGAATTTTAATGCCAAGTAATTATCATTCATTCATTTGTACTGTATATCAGAATCATGAATTAATTTTAATAAATACATTCCACTAACACATACAATGTATTCTTAAGAAATTGCTAATCCTATCTTGAAATAACTCATTTTGTCTCTTGGTTGAAAAAAATGTTTAGTCTTTTCATTAACTTAAAATGAGACATCTCTAATGGATAAATATGAGAATGCCTAATCTTCACATGAAGTTTGGGAGATTATTCTGACTAGTGTTAAGTGATATAGGAAGTACTATATCTGTGCCTCTGAGCAGAATGATTCTGAATACCGAGTTTACATTTTAAAGGCATACAAAGCTTTATGTACTTTAAAGAAGCATGAAAGTTTATTAACAAATAGCCAGGATCTCCTTATTCACTACTTTTTTTTTTAACTTTTATTGGAGTATAGTTGATTTACAATGTTGTGTTAGTTTCAGGTGTATAGCAAGTGAATCAGTTATACATATACATATACCCACTCTTTTTTAGATTCTTTTCCCATATAGGTCATTACAGAGTACTGAGTAGAGTTCCCTGTGCTATACTAGTAGGTCCTTACTAGTTATCTATTTTATATACAGTAGTGTGTATATGTCAATCCCAATATCCCAATGTATCCCTCCCCCCACTCACTACTTTTTAAAGAAATATTTTTAGATTGATTTTTTCTTTTAATCTTTTTTAAAAATGTATTAATTTTATTTATTTGTTTTTGGCTGCATTGGGTCTTACTTGCTGCGCGTGGGCTCTCTCTAGTTGCAGCGAGCGGGAACCACTCTTCATTGTGGTGCACTGGCTTCTCTTTGCGGTGGCTTCTCTAGTTGCGGAGCACGGGTTCTAGGTGCACAGACTTCAGTAGTTGTGGCACGCGGGATCAGTAGCTGTGGCTCACGGGCTCTAGAGCACAGGCTCAGTAGTTGTGCACAGGCTTAGTTGCACCGCGGCATGTGGGATCTTCCCAGATCAGGGCTCAAACCCGTGTCCCCTGTAATGGCAGCCGGATTCTTAACCACTGTGCCACCAGGGAAGCCCTAAAGAAGTATTTATTTTTTACTTGTTGACTTTTAAGACCATGATGAAACATGTGAATTTCCATTTTTAAGCAGAACCAGATTATAAAATTATATCCTCATTTTAGATGTATGACTTTATCTTTTGTGTATTTCTCTATAGATTTCTCTCCTGTTCTTTATATATGGAGAAAAATAATTTGAGAAAATATATTAGTTTTCTAGTATTTTCAATGTGAGATTAAAATAAAAACAAGTTAGGGACTTCCCTGGTGGTCCAGTGGTTAAGCCTTCCAATGCAGGGGGTGCGGGTTCGATCCCTGGTCAGCGAGCTAAGATCCCACGTGCCTTGCGGCCAAAAAACCAAAAAAATCCCAAAAAACAGAAGCAATATGGTAACAAATTCAATGAAGACTTTAAAAATGGTCCACATGAAAAAAAATCTTGAAAAAAATAAAAGTTAAATGTGCTATTTTAGTAAATTATTTGAGACTTTTTACTTTATGAATATTTCATTTTTCAGAAATGTATTTTATAACCTGTGGGCATAAAACCATACAGTGACGTGTTTTGTTTGTGCTATTTATAAAAATGGAGTTTTTTTACAGTGTAAACTTTTATTCTCACTGTAAAAATCATCTGTGCTTGTTTATTAAACATATGTCACTTAGAAATGCTGTTCTTTGCTGTGGGATACGTTTCAGTTTGATATTTTATGGCCTGTTTCCTCATCCATGCCAAGAAAACACTGAAAGCTTGGGGTCATGTTTTTGTTGCACGGACTTGTTTATAATATGAATATACTGTACCATATTTTATTGACAGAAATAATGTAATTTTTATATACATTGAATTTATATTGGCACCCCAAGATAGAATTTATACTTGGAAATATAAGATGTGACGATACCTTGAGTTTTCTGTAGTTCTTAACTAATTTACCACCTCCCAGAATTATATGCAGATTGTAAAATTAAAATTGAATTTCTTTAACATCAACCAAATATTATTTTAATCTTAGAATAGACGAGTCTCATCAAAGTTTAATATTATATACCATCATTGTCTAGTTTCAGGTATTGAAAATTGTACTTCCTTAATGGAGTAATGGGTGATTTTACTCTTCAGGCCAGGACTCCTGTTACTTTACTCTTCTAAATAGGCTCATTTAGTGCAACAGTGTACCTTATACTAAACAGTGAAGCTAGATTCTAAAGTGCAGGTACATTCCAGATATCAAGAATAAAACAAAGATGCTCGCTATTATCATTTGACATGAAATAAAAAATGAAAGGTATAATATAGAAGGAAAAAACAAAATAATATACTGATAATTGTAAAATCCCGAGGAGACACCTAAAACATTGTTGCATTCTTATTTTTATCATTTAACAGTAGGAAGGACATACTTGCAAAAAACAGTGATATATACACACAGACACACATATATATTTATATATATAATATATGTCAAGAGTAGTCAGGTATGAAAACATATACCTAATTATAATAACCATAAAACATATAAGGCAGAAATGATCTTATTAGAAAATGCATGAGACCTGAGGATGAAAAACACAAGAGGAATAAAATAGGATGTGGCCAAAAAATACTCAAGTTTATCTGGAGGAATAAATAGGTAAAGTTTAATAAAGTAAGGTAAAGAATAAATAGGAAAGTTTTAACAAAGAAGAGTAATGTGAAGGAAAACCAGCCCTACCAAATATTGAAGCCAGTTTTAAACAGTCATTATCCCATTATGAATATGATAATATGAATGATGAATATGATAATGTAGAACCTATAAATAAGCATTTTTATATGTAGAATTAATTTTGATAAATTTATGAATAAAGGTATAACAATTTGGGAAGCAATCACCTCTAATAATATTGAAGCAACAGGATCTTAGAACAGAGTTTTGCAAATTGCGCTCTGTAGAACACCATGATAATGGATATGAAAGTGAAAGTGTCCATAATCCAATCAGCTTGGGAAATTTGGGGTTAAAATAGTGTTTTTTATAGCAGAACCTCTTTAAAATAATAATATATGTTGTGACTTAACTGTATATGTTTTTTTAACACAGAATGAAGTTAAATCAGAATATTTTGCAGGAATTCTTAATTTGCAGAGCTCACTCTGGGAAACACTGTGTTAAATATTTAGTTTTGTCCCTTTTCCTTCAACTGGACACCAGAATGTCTGTGTTTTCTAAAATGTGAAATCTTGGAAAGGAATGGAAATTTATCGCATCTCCAGGAGAAAGAAGTGTCCATGAAGGACGATAAAAAGGGAAATACTTATTTGTATGAAAGAAGAGAAATTAAAGATATGAACAAATAAGCAAAATAAAAAGGGTTGGGTAAAAAATTGCTGCAAAGATGATCAGCAAAAGGATAATGAACAGATTGATTTTAAACAAATGAACTTAGGCTCTTACCAATAGATAGGCCATGGATGTAGTTCACTAGAAAGGAAATATGACTAGTACATAAACATGGAAAAGGTTTTCCACATCCACAATCAAATGTCACAAATGGAAATTCAGTTAGTGATCTGTGTATTATCCACAAGTCAATTTCTTCCTCCTCCTTAGTGTGTACACTTTACATATGCTCATTAAGAAAACCTGTAAAAGGTAGCCAAGAAAAATCTATTGAGTTATCATGTCATATATGAATTAAGCATCACCCCCACTCTGCCAAACGTAATACTGATTTTGCAATTAGACATTTCACATTCTTTCTCTTCCTAGTTCCCACTCTGTGATGGCTCTCACACAAAACACAATGAAGAAACTGGAGACAACGTGGGACCTCTGATCATTAAGAAAAAAGACACTTAAATGGACACTTTTGATGCTGCAGACCAACTTGTCATGATGTTTCCTGATCGTTTAATTAGAATGAGTACCACTTGTGTCTAATTCACCTCCCCTGGGTTCTAGATGTGGTATATTGCAAACTACAGCTTTCATATTCACGGCATTTGCCTTACTTGTTGAACCATCGTGGTGCACATTTGTTGAAACAAAAAAAAAAGGAAAATCCAGTCTCATGGACTGTGGGTTATTTTGGTCTTGTAAGGATCCGTTTCTTTACATTTAAATAATGACATTACAATATAGCTGTATGGCGAAGTTAACGTATTAAATTATTCTCAAAATCATGTCTGTGCAGATTGTACTTGTAAGTTTCAAAGAAAAATTATCACCATTTAATATTAGTTAACCTAGAAAGTAAATTGGGTGTGATTAAACTACGTTAATCTCTTAATAACAATCTAGGAAAAATCTTTTATGACCTTGGTTTTCTTCTTGAATGTGGTAATGACACTGAGAAAATACAGCTTCTGTGTTTCAATCAAAATGAACTTTGAATGTTAATTCTGCTTAATTATAAGTGGGCCAGGTCAATAATAAAGGGACAGTAACTTCTTTGTATTCATCTTCATGGATATTTAATTGATCCATTAAAGAAACCAGTAGTGGAAATTTAGATCAAAGTGATATGAGATTTAAAGTTGTCATGAAGGATGTCTTAAAATGTAATAATGTTCCAGAATTCTAGCCAAGGAGTGGCAAACACTTGAATTGGGGACACTGAAGGAATTGGAACACATAATATCAAGTCTCCTGTATGCAGAGCCACACATCCTTGACAGAAATAGTAGTCGTGAGGGTAGATCAGAGGCATGGGAAGATTTTTATTTCCTCATTCTTGATAATCAGGCACATGATTAATTCTAGTAAAGAAACTGCTTGGGGGAGAAAAGTAAGAATTACATCCTCTTTTAAACTGTATAATCTTAAAAGCAAAAATTTGAAGACAAGTGTTTATGTCATATTCTTCAAAGAAACTTTCTTTAGACCAGAAACTTTGCATTTCATTGCTGATTCAGAAAAAAATATGAAAACTGAAAATAATTAGGAGTAATAAAAGTTAAGATAGGAGTAGTTTATATATATATATATATATATTCAGATTATTTTCCATTATAGGTTATTACAAGATATTGAATATAGTTCCCTGTTTTTTTTTTTTTTTTCCGGTACGCGGGCCCCTCACCGCTGTGGCCTCTTCCGCCATGGAGCACAGGCTCCAGACGCGCAGGCCCAGCGGCCATGGCCCACGGGCCCAGCCACTCCACGGCATGTGGGATCCCCCCAGACCGGGGCATGAACCCGTGTCCCCCGCATCGGCAGGCGGACCCTCAACCACTACGCCACCGGGGAAACCCAAGAGTAGTTAATATATTTTTTAAGAGAAATTAGGTTTTGGGATTTCATGGGTTAGAAGGAAAAATATATACATAATATAGCAGACGTAATTTGAAATTGACAAAGGTAACAAGTAAACATTCTCATCATTTCTTTGCAGACACTTGAATTCTCAGTAGTAGTCCATCATGTTTCTACTTAGTAGAATCCAGAATTACTTTAGAAGTAACAGGAATCAGTGCAACTAAAACATCAGTTTTCCTATATTAAGTATGATCATTGATATTTTTTAATGTATGGTTTTGTGTATTATAGTAGATAAAGTTGATCCCAAAATTGTGTGTACCAGTTTTTAAGTAGTGCACATGACTTAGTTGAACTTGTCTTTAAGGCACATCCTAAGCACAAAATCTCAAGTACTACAAACCCTGATTCTACCTATAAGATTCTCAGGATGAATTTTTTCATGCCTCTTCCCCCTTTTTCAAATAAGTATGATTGGGTCAGCAATAGAGAGCATCATGCTTTTAAACATTAATTGTTTTAAAGAAAAATACATCTATGAACTCCAAAGTTACAGATAAAAGGACATCCTTTGAGGGAATTACCCAGTTGTCCAGTAGTTGGGACTCCACACTCAATGCCAGGGTCCCAGGTTCACTCCCTGGTGGGGAAACTAGGATCCCATGAGCCACGTGGTGCAGCCAAAAGAAAAGGAGAGGGGACATCCTTTGAACACACTAAGCTGTATTCTTAATTTTGAATTTGAAATTATTATGAGTCATGCATTTTTATAGCTAGTGGGAGAAAAAAAAACTAGTGCCAATTCTCAAAAGTACTTTCAATGGTGTAAGTGGGTGACTATGATTATGGTAAAATTGGAAATGGTCACCTTACTGTGAAATGCAGATCTACTGTAGCATTTTGATAGTCCAGAATAATTAGATAAATGTAGTCCCATGGTCATGTTAAAATTCTATTACATGCTTTTGAACTAGAATTCCTTTAGGATATGAAAATCTTTTCATGTTATTAGTTAACCTAAAAAGTAAAGTAGGTGTGGTTAAGTTAACGTGAGCTGTTTTTACACAAAAATCATTGTGTACAATTACTGTTCTCACTTAAATACCCTAAATCTTCTAATTGCTTTTTCATTTGATGGAGAGATCAGGCAAGTGGGGCTCCCCAACACCATCACCATCTCTTTTTTCTCTGTATCATTTATGTTTCAGTGATTTCTTCAGTAAGATTTTGTGCCAGGTTGAGAAGTTTCTAATGTCATGAAGAAACTTGTTTTGCAGTGACAAGTTTAGAGTGACATACTCCTGTTCATGCAGACATTTATTAAGCATTTATTATAGACGATGTAATTGAGAACACAACATTTTGGAGAATTCAAAGCTCACAGTTTGGATTATATCATTTATGACATGGGTTATATTATGATAGTTTATGACTTGGGGTTGTTTTCCTTGACAAATTGTAACAGGTGCAATCATGTATACCAAGTCTTTCTACAGAGTAGGTGGGTTTACTTGATTTTGTATTAGTTATGAATGATTTTGTTTTAAGATAAACGTTGGTTAAGGTTCCTAATTAGCCACATGTTCAATACAGTGTTTTATTCTACTAGTTGTCAGAAGCTCTGCTTTTCCTCCCTGATTTTAACACTAACTGATGTCAGGCAAACACACTCACCTCTTAGCCTTTTAATTGAAATGGTTGGACAAAATGGCATTTTAGGCATTGTTCCCCAATTCTAAGCCAAGACTAAAATTTCAACATCCCTAAAGGAAAAAAAAAAAAAAAAGGTTGACAGAAGGTCCTCAACTTGAATTTAATTTTTATTACATGATTATACCAACTTTTGTGGTATTGAAGTATCCTTTTATGAAATGGCGTTGATAGTAGTTGCTTTCAATATTCGTGGCAAAATAAAAAGTTGGCAGCCCTATATTGGCCCCCACTTTTTTTTTTTTAACTGCTCCATGAAATCTAAAAATCTGGAACCACGTTTTTATCTAAAGCCAAGGTTTTAATCTAAAGTTCTGGGACTTAGTAATTATTTTATAAAGGTGTTAAAACAGTTTTATTGATTTTGATATTTAGTTTGTATATTTGAAATTTTTCATATATGACTGTTAACACAATGCATTGAAGCTTCATGCAAAGTTATTAATGTAAAAGAGTGGTTTTACTTTCATTCAACTTACCGTCATGATCCAAACTAAGAATAATGCCAATCCATCCCAATCGCTTCATAACTCATGATTTTAAAGGATTAAATAAAATACACAACACTGAGATTTGCACAAGATGATTGTTAACTGCACATCTGCGTTTTCTGAGAAAAGTATTTTTTATGGACCTAAGAAGTATTTCATAAACAAAAAAATTGCATATATGAGCTGAAGTTACCAGGAATCATGCCCAAGGGGAAAGACCAGAAATAAAATTTTAATCAGTAAATGGGTGAGTATCATTCAGATTATAAATTAAGGGTATTGATATAGTGTTAGCCCTAAGGTCTCTGAACGACAAAAAAGGCAGTGTGGGGCTTCCCTGGCCAGTGGTTGAATTGGCCCCCACTTTTTTTTTTTTAACTGCTCCATGAAATCTAAAAATCTGGAACCACGTTTTTATCTAAAGCCAAGGTTTTAATCTAAAGTTCTGGGACTTAGTAATTATTTTATAAAGGTGTTAAAACAGTTTTATTGATTTTGATATTTAGTTTGTATATTTGAAATTTTTCATATATGACTGTTAACACAATGCATTGAAGCTTCATGCAAAGTTATTAATGTAAAAGAGTGGTTTTACTTTCATTCAACTTACCGTCATGATCCAAACTAAGAATAATGCCAATCCATCCCAATCGCTTCATAACTCATGATTTTAAAGGATTAAATAAAATACACAACACTGAGATTTGCACAAGATGATTGTTAACTGCACATCTGCGTTTTCTGAGAAAAGTATTTTTTATGGACCTAAGAAGTATTTCATAAACAAAAAAATTGCATATATGAGCTGAAGTTACCAGGAATCATGCCCAAGGGGAAAGACCAGAAATAAAATTTTAATCAGTAAATGGGTGAGTATCATTCAGATTATAAATTAAGGGTATTGATATAGTGTTAGCCCTAAGGTCTCTGAACGACAAAAAAGGCAGTGTGGGGCTTCCCTGGCGCAGTGGTTGAGAGTTCGCCTGCCGATGCAGGGGACACGGGTTCATGCCCCGGTCTGGGAAGATCCCACATGCCGCGGAGCGGCTGGGCCCGTGAGTCATGGCCACTGAGCCTGCGCGTCCGGATCCTGTGCGCCGCAACGGGAGAGGCCACAACAGTGAGAGGTCCCCGTAAAAAAAAAAAAAAAAAAAAAAAGTGCGACCTCAAACATGGCACTGAAGAGTGCCAAGCTGAGAATGTTGTCAGCTAGGCATTGTGTAAACTGGATGTTCTTCACTTGCAGTAATACCTGTGTCTCTGAGGATAGTCTATATCTTTCTAGTTCTTCCAACCTGTCACAGATGAGCAGAAATCAATTTCTGTCAAGACCTGCTTCTTCAAGTGCTATTTCAAAAGTTGTTTCCATTTGTAAGTATCAGAGTTTTATAGATTTCCAGCTTTATTTTACATTTAAAACAATTTTGAACATTGCCCACATGCTCTTTACTATAGAATAAATTGTTTTTCTGCTGGTGATACTGCCTATCAACATTTTCATTATTGGGTTAGGCAGTGGCTCATCTCATACCATATACAAGATAGACATGAGAGATGATGTTTCTTATGGCTCTATCAACAATTAAACTTAGCTAAATCTGTTAAATTTATTTCAAAATCTCCCAACTATGAAAGGTAGGGTTCCATTTATGTACTCTATCACTGCACAGCAATCCTTTATCCTAAACTTTCTGGATATGGACTACCACTCCTTGATCTAGACAGTAAGGCTGTGTTTCCCTTAATATCACGATTTTACACTTTTAGAATTGGTCAACCTTTATCTTTCCAACTTGCAGTCTGCTCTGTAGCCATCACATGAACCTTTTCTTTATCTCTTC